TAAGATATATCTCGAGGCTCTGCGTTGCAGACTTTCCACTTTCTTAATGTTAACAATAGCTTGCGGAGACCAAAGTTCACTAGTATATCCTAAGTGAGGCCTAACATAGCTATGATACAAAAGCTTTCTTGCATTGATGTCAAAAGAGATTGGTATGTCTGTTGTAAGAACATTCCTAGAAAAATATTGATATTCATATCTATAAAAAGGACCTATATAATTCAGGTCATTGATTGACAAATTGATGTTAAATAAGCGATAATAGGTCATTTCAACACTGAAGAATATTTTATACGACTTGCGTTTCTTTTTATTATTCTCGTCAAGAAGAAGGTGATTGGTCGTGTTTTTTAAAGACGACGAAACTATTTTATAGGCTTCGATTATTTCTCTTTAGAGGTATGCCCACAATATATTCCTTTCCGTCTTGGAAAGACCCATATATCGCCTATCGCCTTCGACTCCAACAACCATTTTGAAATAACTGCATATAGAGAGATAATTTCATAGAAAGTGCACGCGTACGTTATTCACGATCGATTTGTGAATGTCATAAAACAAACCGGAACGGGTTTTTAGGCAATTGAGTTTGATGATACGAATTTTGAATAAAAACTATTCTTAGTATTTTCTGTTTATCATATTCATACCGAGATTTTCAATTTGGTTTGAATTAATTTTAAAAAAATCAGTTTACAAAGTTCAACTAAAATTATGATAAGGCTATTTAATTAATTGATATTTTAAAACGCTTAATCAAAAGCTAAGAGTAACTTTTTTGAGATCTTTTGACATTCAAATTGTCTAATTTTAATGTTTTCGACTTCTAGACTTCATCATGGCAGCAGGAAGTATCGTTTTTCTCAGACGTGAAAAGGCGATACCCGCATTGATTAGGAACAGCGAAGGAACGGAAGTATATTAAACAGGTTTTTACTGAGTAAGTCCCGGTATGTAAATAATACAACTAATCATGATATATAATTTTTAGATATTCAGAAATAAGGAAGGATATATTAGACATGGATTATTATGGAAAATATAAAAATTCCGCTGTGCTAAAATCATGCTGGTCGTAATTGTCGGTAAGAAAAGGGGAACGATAGATTTATTTATTACACATTATTGCGTCTATAAAAGGCACTACCAGCCATATCTTGTATATATTCTATCAGTACGGTCCCTAATGTTTATGAACCAGTATCATGCTTCTCTATTTGATTATTGAAAAATATTTATAATAATTAGGCAAAAAAAATAAACAGGTTTGCAAGTTAATCAAGTCCGGTATAATAGGAAGCTAAGATTGCCACGTGTCATTGAGCGTAAAAACGTTGGCTTGTGCTTGTCGTTGTGAAGATTAAATATTCATTGAAAAAAAGACTTTTTGATTTTCCATATTGTTGGCAGCCCCATTATTGGTAGAAGCCGTATGGGAACCAGCGACATCCACATCGAATATCCTTTCACTTGAGTTGCTTATTAAAGACATGTATCCATTCTCTGTGGAATACGACAAACCTTGATACGATTCATCAGGTTCTAGGTAAGGTGTATAGCATTCCTGGTCGGAATTACCATGCAAACATTTTGTTCTTGGCCTATCGTAGGTATCATCGTATATGTCGTTTTCTTTCCCCTTCTCTTCMTTGTGCTTGATATTTGTCGGTGTTTCTTGGGGTGAATTTGGTGGCAACGAGAGTAATGGGGATGATACGCACCTCAATCTTGGAGGACAAGTCAYCTTGTGTTCTGGTAGTCTCGGCCTGTCGTTGGTATCATCATATATGTCGTTATCCTCTCCCTTCTCTTCCTTCTGCCTGAGATCAGCAATTGTTTCTTGGGTTGAGTTTGGTGGCAAGGGGAGTGGTGGGGATGATGCGGACCTCAGTCTTGGAGGACAAGCCGTCACCTTGTATTCTGGTAGTTTTGTCATGTCGTCGATATTATAATATGTGTCGTCATCCTCCATCTTCTTTTCCTTCTGCCTGATACCAGTAATTGTTTCTTGGGTTG